ATTATTTTTCACATGATCCAAATGCTTATCAACGAATATTGGGTTCTAAGAGAATTTTCATCAAACCCCGGTAGTTCTAACTTTATTCATGTTATTAACCATTGCAACCTTTTTCTTCATCAATTCTTTAATTTTACCTCAACGCACTACTTTCAACATTCCAATCTTTCTTTTACTCCTTCACCAAAGATGCAGTAACCGGAAACGCCGCACAACATTGCATAGTAAACGGTTGTTCACTGAGACCGATTAGCACTTTTAATTCTCATTTCAGTTTACTTTTAGCAACACGCAGGCGGTCCTACACGCCTTGAACCGCTTAGCGATCGAGGTATCCAGGTATGGTATGTGCTTTGCGCCGTCCAAATACAAATACAAAGGGTTTGTACAAGACTGGTAGGAGCCTGCGTCTGTACTCACCCCGTGTGAGATCAGCTGGAAGTGGGTGAGGTTTAATTACTTCGGGAGCTTGATCGAAGTTGGTGTTAGGGAGGAGATTACATCACGAGTAGCTAAAGCCAGAGCAACTTTCGCCAACCTGCGACATATGTGGCGCCGACATGACATCCGACTGTCTTAAAGGGACGGATGTGCATCGCTGCGGTTCGTAGCGATCTAATTTACGGCTGCAAAACCTGGCCCCTTCGATTTGAGTTTGCTAATCAACTTTCTGTATTCGACCATCGATGTCTCCGAAGCATTGCTGTTGTTTGCTGAGAGCATCAGGTGGGTAATGACGAGGTTTGTCGTCTTGTTCTTGAGTGTGAATAGTCGCTCTCTAACAGAAGTAATCGCTCTACACAGCCTCTGATGGCTTGGTCGCGTATTGCGTATGCCTGCCTATCGGCTACCTCTCCGTGCTCTGCACGTACCAGGCAAGGCTGGAAGAAGTGCCGCGGCTGTCAGACCATGACATGGTGTGCAGGAATGAGGAGACTAGCTTCAGCTTTGTCTTCGGTTAGTGCAGACGGCCTTCTAGGTTGGGACACAATCTAAACATTAGACCTACAGACTCTATCCGGTTAATACAATGCACTAAAAAACAATGTCTACATGTGTTTACAAGTATGTTCACCAACCTTAAACCAAAACGTTACCAGCGATGTACATGGCGGAACGAAAAGGGGAGAACTTACGAACTAAAACCGTCTCCTTAGAAGTAAAATAGTATTGGTTTCTAGCCTACGCAGACATACACTGCATCGTTTTACGACATTTTACCTACTGGTTTGCCAAGATATGGTGAAGTTCATTGAAGTTTTGTCACGTGTCCACTCATTACAACCATTATGATGAGTCGTAAACTGGTAACGTATTCTAACTCTCAAACGGGTGACGTTGTTTAACCCTACCGGTAGTAAGGAAACTTACCTGACTAAGAACTACTTTAATTAAATGTTTGCGCATTTTTGATGGCACTTGAGCTTTGTGTTTCGAATCAAGCCTATCAACTTTTGGCAGAACGAAAGGGAAAAATTAAGGTCTCATTGCCGTGTTGCTAATCACTGGTTGAACTGAATCGTCTACAACTTCAGGCACGCTCTTGTGGTCTTCTTTTCTGTATAACGTCTTATAATACTACCATTATTGAAGCGAAAGCATATTCCAAATGTATTTTGGCACGATATTTTAAACGCAAAAATAGATCCAATGCTCGCGGTAAGAGAACCTGACATTTTGCAGCTGTATGGTCTACCAAGATTCCTCCAGCGACAACCTCACAACAATCTCCGATGGGTTGATCCGGGTCCCATCTCTAACCTAACTGAAGTCCATAGACGGAGTAGAAAAGCTGATCAATATGAATCCTGACCAATGGATTGCAGATGAAGTGTCGGCAAACAAATGAAACGCTAAGGTAGCATTCGCTAACTTCCGCGTCCATAGTACCGTCGCGACACACAGGTTTCTGTGAATAGACGAGTGTTATTTTTTGTCTCAGAATACGGGTGTGGCGAAGACCCACAATGGCTGCCGAGCGACGCATCAGGCAATTCTGCCTTATTCCGTGTTCTAAGTTCAACTCAGTCAAACATTCGCTTCAGTATGAACTCATAAGTAGATGGCCAGTTCAGCTGTCCTTAAAACAGAATTACCATCAGACACGCTGAAACCATTTCAAAATCTGTGCTTTAAAAAGGTCATACATATATTGTACTTAACCGGTTTGGGAGTACAAACATGTCCGAGGATCATAATACGATGGGGTACAATGAATTTGCAACGAAGGCTGCAGAATAAAAAAGTTAAAAGAGATCCCAAAGCGGCTATCTCAAGGTTCCAAAGAGATTAGTTGTATTAGCATCTTATACGGCGATATCAGCATCCTCCTCAAATGTCGGCTCAAGTCAGCAATGGATCAGACCCACCGTAAAGCTGGTGTTAACGTTGATT